CAAAGCTCCCGTATTTTAAGATAAGTTTGATGATGAAGTATCTAGTTGGCAGTATGATAAGGTGCTTAGTCCCGAAAGGCAAAACAGCCCACCGGAGCAATTCCCTACGCGAAATATTTCCTGGTCATCACAGGGATTCATCTTTCTAAGTGGACTGATATACAAGGATGATGTACGCTCGTTACCAGCGGGTTTATTGCCCAGTATGCTGAGCTTGTCTCAAAACGTGTTTTTTGAACGAATTCTGGGACAAAGATTGATAATCCCATCTTCTGTCGCTGTGTCTGATGACGGTTAGGGCTGGTTACGGATTTGGTTCGTTTTCCGATCAGAGTACAACAATGTCCGATTCATGCAGCGGCCTCAAGAGATTTGTGATAGTAATCAAATATGTTTGAAAAAAGAGACGGTTGACTGTACATAAGCAATCGTGCATTTCGTGCTTTCTCATCATTTCTGAGGGAAACGGAGCTCGTGGATTTGGTTTGGTGGTCCTGATGACCCTGTCCAGCAGAAAGTTCGGGCTCTGGCTTCACGAAACGCGTCCAGAGATTTCTGAAACTACGCCTTGTGATATGCTATCCACTGGATTGTCCTTACCGTCAACAAACATCTACTGACGCACACGTGTGATTTCACGTATGTCTTTTTTGCGACAAAATTCTGGAAATTCTGAAAGTGGGACAAAAGTACAATCGACCAACCAGGATCATTGGATAACCCAGGATGTTACGGCATGATAACTCTCACCAAACAAAGATGAATAATAAAGCCAATTAACAAACCACAACCGTTGGTAACTGCGGTGTCAGGAGACGTTAAGAGTTTTCAAATCCGAACCTATTGCAGTAGAAAAATGGTTGGTGCCAGCCCGGTGGTGTGAATATCTTCAATAGTATGTGAACTTGTCACAGTTGAGGCCTAAACATCTTGTCGGACAGCTAAAGTCTCGAGGAGCCATATTGTGTAGTTAACCCAGATCGGCTTTTGAATAAGGGAAATAAAATAAACGCCTCATCGTTGTTCACTAAGGATTTTAAGGCGAATGTGCGGCTCGTCTCGCTCCCGAGATGGAACCAAAGAAAGGCAACAAATATACGGCGAAAACGCTGGACATTCAGAGGAGAAGTGAGAGTATTCTCCAAAGGTATTGGTTCTGACTTCGCCTCGGAAAGCTAAATTGACACAGTGAAATGAGCATCCTAATAAATCAAAGAATCAGCGGCGCACATCAACGTCACTTGCTGTGCTTGAAACGGATTTCATTTCAGCTGAAGAACCGTGTGTTCCGCTGGGTCTCAACTCAACCCCACCCGACCGCGCACTTGTTACATCGCTTTGGTTGATGGGTAAACTGTTGTAATCCAACTTCAAAGCTTAACGGACAGACCAATAACAAAAGACAGTTTTTTCCTGTTTCGAGTAGTTACGTCCGAAAATTTATCAAGTAATGGCTCGCGACTCGGGGATATAATGCAAAACCGAATGCAGTACTGTAAGGCCTCTTCATCCGCTTGGCTGGGACTCACGTAATCCTGTTTACAATTGACTGAGAACTGTGTAGATCACTGTAAGCAGCTGATGTCCCCGGGGTACCACATGCACCTCCGAATACCAGGAACTCCCACGGATGGAAACCTCTGGCAGCCGGAAATCGGGTGGGGTTGTGAACACGGGGAGCAGGGCCTTGGGCCGTGGTCCGTGCCTGGCTAAGAGGCGTAATAATTTCTGATGGAAAGGATGTCGCTATGTTGATGATTCACATGTGCAGATATCTCATAACTTTGCATTATCTGCCGAATAGTCGTGCATTTCCGATAACCCGGATCATCCACAGAAGCGCATAATTGCATTAGTACAAGAGAGTGCATCAGACATTCTTCCACTGTTATACTGGACGGAAGGATAGCTCTCTATAAAAAAGCTGCTGTGCGGATGTTGGCCAAATGAACTGAGGGAGACTACGCATAAAAACGTTATCTAGCTATTTTTGTTTGGAAATTGCATTGGACATTCTGGAGATGTTACCTCACGCGGAACTTTAAAGTATTCTAAAGTTTTATTTCATGCTTTATCTCGTAAACTGGTGAAAAGTGCGAATAGGTGGTGGTCGATGAACTTGAGTTGTTGTTCACTTAAACAAAATGCTATGTATCACCGGAGCGTGCAAACAGATAAGGCTAACTCCCCGTAGAATTCACAACTTAAAGAAGCCCATAGTCTTAGCTAAACTAGTTTCAGTTTGCTTCGTGTGAGAAACTGTCAGCAGCAGTTTCCTGTCTTGTCCAAGTCAACCGGCTTTATCACCGAAAAATCACACATCCTGACTTATCGTTTTCCGCAATTTATGATTATTCGACACGTATTGGGCATATCCCCATTGTTTTGCCTTCCCTTCCGTTGTGTTGTTTCTTGTCATGTGCAAATTGCAACGAAGTTACAATACTTCACTTGGTATGCCCTCTACAAGCTGGGAAATAAAGCTGTCATTTTCGTGGCTGTTAAAATAAAATTTGAAGTCTCTGATGGTGCTCCTCTAGCTAATTTGCCATCACCTGGTGGAAAGAGTTCAATTGAAGTGAACCGATAGTTCTATTCAATTACTAGAACGGTGCCATCACGAAAGAACTGTCTTCTGACCTTGGTTGCAGCCGAAAACCTTGGGTCCCTTAGTTCACGAGGGCTCGTGAAGAAAAGACGTAGGAATAGCCAGCTGGATCCTGATCGTGAAAAGGTTGCGTGGACCACATCTAATTACGTTCAAACGTTAGGGCGACTCCATGCATACATTTGACCCAGAAAAAACCTAGTGATGAACTTCCCAAACGCCTCATCAGTCTTGCCCTTCTAAAGAACTGAAAGCATCCAGATATCACTAGAGAAGTGGTAAATTTTGTTTTATCTTTCAGGATTAATTTTGGCTGGGTTCACTCGTATCCACAAGAACAGTGCAGCACTTTCGAATTCTATTTTTGGGGTCGGCGTGGGCAGACAACTTTGCACACAACGCGCAGCATTTTAGCTTGTTTAGCTACCAGGTTATTCTACTGTCTCCATAGTCTGGTGGACAGAATTCCACATCAGGTTGTCTTTTCATGTTAAGCACTGCTCTGACTGACTTAAACGCTTCTCGGTTATCCTTTGGTCCATTTCCCTTGATTCGTTGTGTCTTGTCTACATCCTTGTTCCTCGCTGATGATGCTTATTCCTTCCAATCCACCTTTTTATCTCTGTACCTTATATAATAGTGTTGTTGTATATTTTGGCTTTCCGGCTCATCACGCCATGATTATTAAGCTAGACTAACCACAACAATCCCACGCCCATCACCTAAATACATAAGTAGAAGACCCTGTTTGTAGTTACCTAGCTTCATAGCTGTTAGACCAAAATTTTTGGACGTTACGAGCTTGGAATTTGATGTTTGGAAGCTTGATGAGTTTAGACACCATCAACTGTTCCCATTTTCCCTTAAGCTATTGTTGCAGCCCTCAGGCACTTGAGAGTCACAAAGCGTCTACACACCTGTTACACGATTACGTGACTTGCTTTATTTTTGTAAGTTATTGGCCAATCTAAGTTATCCTTTACGTTGCCCTCGTTGGTCTCCAACATTTGTATCATGACTGTCCGGTGTAGATGCAGCAACATGAGCGAGAAAACCAAATCTACAAAAAGGCTGTCGGTGCATAGCAAGACAGCATAATGATTGTATGATTACTCTACATTTATTCCACCTGTGAAAAAAGAGCAACTCTTCGCTGCGAGCTTATTTATTGGCAACCACAGAACAAGCAGCTAGAGGCTATCAGACACAAAGATAAACACCTCATCTGTACGGATTATTTTCGCACATTCCATATCGTTCTCTTGAACTTTCCTGGATGTCATTTGAATAGTAAACAATTATAAGTGGGCACTGTAAAGTGGTTGCATGCTGTCCGTATTTTCCACAGTAACTTTCACCTTCTGTCCGTTACGGGTCCCTGATAATAGACTACTTGCACGCTTCATCAGTAGAGTACACCGTTACACCTAGGTGATACGGCTGACAAGCCTTCTTAGTTCAGAGTGGTATAAGAAGGTCAAAAGAAGAAAACATACAGCTAAAGAAGCTTGCTTCCTGTGACTGGTTCTTCTGGTTGATGCGATAGCAGAATTAATCTAGAAGTGCTACGTGCTCTGTATATGCTCCTCAGAATAAAAGGGATTGTGTGGGGAAATGGACATCTAGATGAGTAGCAGAGTCACGTGTGTTACGTCAAATGCGCGGGGCCAGGTTTTTCACAGGTCAACTCATGTTCAGAGTTGGCCCAAGTTCCTTTATGATGCATTGTTGCGGATCATGCAGTCGGCTTCCACCCCCCCCTCCCCCGCTGCTGTGATAACAATCCGAATTATACTAATCCTGTTCGGCTCATACATCGACGTATGGCATCGAAGGGGCGCTCTCTGCTGATGACGTGAATTATGTCAGCTAGGATGATTCAAATGCACTTGGCTCGTTTTCTTCCAACAACTTAGGGACGTAGGAGCGTGTTCTCATAGCCTCTCTGACAAGCGGCATGTCGGCCGACCAAAGTTTGATGCTCAGTACCAGCATACAAATGAATACACACAAAACCTGATGGTAGAAGTTGGTAAGTTGTCGTTTACAAGGAGCCTGATAGTAGGATTGGATTTATTTCTCTTCCCACAAATCATAAGCCGCATGTTTTTCAAGCTCGTCTTGCAACTTCCAGCGTTTTCGGTCCAATGGTCCAAAGTATCTGACTCCGTGGCTCATCGATCTGTGTACTTTTACTTTTTTTGAATTGGTACCAGTGGGTCCAGCTGCTTGAGTACCTGGTTCACGTCCAATTTCATAAAAGTTGTGTTATATTAGCCAGGGTGCTTATTTGTTGCTTCCGCTTTTTGATGGAGTAGTTGAAATTGTGGCCCTGAGGAATGCTGAACTTCAGAAACGCACTTTAGAGAACAGAAGACGTAGTAATTCACTGAAAGACATTGTTTGAAGCAGAATAGTACAACATACGTTGCATTCAGATCATATCCCCTACGTCATTCGTGAAGTACACTTGGAGCTGTCTACAAAATATCCGTGTGATGGAGTGGAATGTATTCATTGTTGTCGGGAGATGTATAAGAATCTGGGTCAAAGGCCACTGTCTCATTTCTCCGTATTGTGCCTTCTTTTATGATGTCGTCCATATTCATTGAATTTGATGCGTGGTCAGTAAGTTTACTCCGCGCTTCGTTGTACATTTGTTCTCCCTCTATTGTTCCTGCCAAGCAAGCTCGCACCGGTTCCCACAAGTCGATTTCGTTGGGATAGAGAAGATTGAATATTTCTGAAAAAAGGCATTTGAAAGCAAGATTAATCACATACGTTGGTCGGAAAATTTGTGGTCTGATTGCTATCCACCACCCTCGTGGCGTTAGTCTTCACTTTGTTAGTAATGTACTTAAGTTATATCTAACTGGAGTAACGCAGAAGGTGAAGATACAATCGATCCCAGACATAAATCGATGCGCTGCAGAGTTCGAATTATATTGGAAATTTTAGGACATTTATAGTAGTGCACAAAAGTTTCAACAATAATACATTGCTCAAGAATGCAGTAAAACCGTGGACAGTTGATCTCACAAGCTCTCATGCAAACGAACAACAAAATACAACAACCATGTGAGTAGTTTCCTTTATGAAAACGCACTTAAGTTTATTCCTTACGAAATTATATCACGTGTGCAAGTTGGGCACCGATAATTCTATGCAAACTTAACTGTAATGACTCAATATCTTCCTTATTAAGTGTCCAAACTAACGAACCTCAAACATAGAATCCTGGGTTACATTCTGGTGAACAACAGTCATCCAGGTAGTCCTGACAAAACCTTACCTTGAGCGTTGAATTCCAACACCCGCAAATGTTTCAGGCTTGCTGCCACAACCGGATGCATCCCTGTGGACATGCCAGCAACGGTGGCTCCTACGGCCTCATCGCCAAACACGTCATCACCCGGTGAACAAGTACCTTGTTCTGCGTAGTCGCGTCTAAAATTGAATCAAGGTAATTAATTCTATTCAGATAAGTGTTGGAAGTCAACTGGACCCCTTGGTGATGCGAAATAGACGGCTAGGTTGCCTGGGTTTTAGTAAACCTTTAAGCATAAACCACATACGGGACAAACTTACGCTAGCTTGTTTGAAGGTATGGTCTTCGAAAAATACCAACCTAGTTGGTTATATCTACTAGTTAAATTGATAAAACAATAGAACACTAAAATCATTGAGTTACTATTGATCACGCTAATAAGGCTTTTATGCAAGGAACTTTGTTTCTATAAATGTACTCTCAGAATTCAAAATCTCGTCAGTGTTATGAAACAGGGAACTGCTCACGCACGAAGAACGTGACTATGCATGACAAATGGGTCGTTTTTTGGCTTGACTATTGAGTTGCAACAGTGCACGACTCTGCACACTCCGTACACTGAGCATTAGATTTGCAACCAGGTATGACTTATGGTCAATGAGGTCATTTTTTCGGTTTATTCTCTACTGCGCACTATACAAGAACCGCTCCGTTAAATGGATGACCCGTTCAACTGCGTACTGATGATGTTTTATCGTATGGTGAGGAACGTCTGTAAGCCAGTTGTCTAGCTTTTTGAACAGGTCAGCAGTCACCTGATCAACAACCAATGAGTGCCTCACCTTTAAGTTAACGTCTGGGCGCTTAGGAAAACAAGCTGGTGATCTGATCGGGTTTGATTTTTGCGTGCGAAAAAGTTAAGGAACTGCTTTCCCCTTCGATCGTTGTTACATTTCAGGAAATTTGGAAAACCAAACCATCTACTTTCACTCTCCCTCTTATTTGTCCTGGTAGAATAGCACGGCGTGCAAAAAACAAGTAATCTATATTGATAACTGAGACTTGAATTCTGGCTAGAATTCGGGCCAAAATACAAGATGTCTTAACTGTGAGAGGTGAATACAATTTTCAAAATGGCAGTTGGATTCGAACTCATGTAATGACCTAATGTTTCATTGTACGTCAAAATCGATGATCTGAGTTGTTGCTGGATGAGTCATTAAAGAAACAGTCCTTACTAAACACTATGAGAGTCTGGAAAGCACTCTTGAGGTAGCAACACTAGCGTTTTTCAAACTGGCTTTTACACACTCACTGATTGGCGCTCTAAAACATATGTACAAATGCTTTTTAAGTATCTTACGTAAGTATTTAAATCAACGCCTTATTGTAGGCCCAACTACGTTAATCATATTGTTCACTACGTACACCTATGTTATATAATACCTGGAGGCGCGTACTGGGGACTTTTCGGTTGAACACCGTAAATAGAACGGTACATTTGATTTCAGCAGTTTCAATCAATTGCATTTTTGAAGCAAATTTTATAGGTTCTGTGCTTTTGTATCAAGAGATTGTGTAGTGTAATGACTGATCTCAGTCGGATGCTTTCATTACCTTCGGTTTTCTTACTCCATTGTAGGGCACAATCCAAGGCAGTTACAAGCTGTCTAACTATTCTGCTCAACTTTGGTTTTCACGAGCAACTCAACTGGATCTCTCGTTTCCCGAAAACACTCCAATTTTGGTTCAAGTAGAACGTTGACGGAAACTCGGGGACTGCGCCTACCTGATGAGCCCTGAGAAAGGCGAAACCGGTCGTGGGATGTCGGAGAGTTTCCAGAAACCTTGTGAGTAATTTCCTTTATGAAAATATTCCGTTCCACATTTGGCAGTCAGGTATAAAGACAACACGCTTAAACTGATGTCTGGTTAGTCACGGGTGTTTTTGAGGCACCTAAAGAAGCTAAAACTCTAATGGTGCGTTATTCGTTTTAAGATAACAGATTGGAAAAGAATCACTGGGATAGGAAGATTTCGTGCAAAGCTTTCGTGAGTGGACAGCAAGTGCAGCGGTGAAAGGCTTATAGATTAGTTTAGCAATGTAGATATTCACTGGTCCGTGAATCAAAGAAATTGGTTCTTAAGAATAAAGGTGAATGTGGATACATTCTCTTCTACCATGGCATTTTCAAAACGTACTAAAAGACTGAACTGGCTTTGGGTTAAAAGCAGTCGATCTTTCTTTTTTCTTCTTAGCAAAATTAGCTTTTTGTCCATCAGGACAGTATTCGGTACAGATGAGGCCGGTTAAACTGCATTCTGTGTGTGAAATATTTTTAAGTTGATTAGTGGTAGAAAAGTATGACGATAATTACAGTTTTTTGAAGCTCCACGTTTTTGATCACCATGGATGACCTTGGGGGAAAAGTAATCAAGATCACAGAAGACTTGATGTTCGTTTTCTTGAAGGAACACCACTCACGGGTTGGTGAAAACTCCTCTATTTTCAGTGACAGGTATCGCCATTCATGTGGTTTCCCAAGGAGGGCAAAGTCGGTCGTGAACTGTCAAGTAGTTTCCGGTAAACTCACGAGCAGTGTTCCTTTAGGAAAATGTACCGCGATGGCCCGAATATCGTACCAAGTAAGACGGTCTTTGCTCAACACATTCGGCTAAACAATATCATAGACGAGGGATTCAGTTGGGGCTTAGATGAAGGTATTCCGCTGGCTTAATGTTCAATCCAAATCTGGTCTGATACCTAGCTTTGATATGTCTTTAATTAGGAGTATGCAGCTAACCGGTACATTGAAGAGGTGCTCGGAAACCACGTTTAAAACGGCTGTCTGAAATATGCAATGGACCCATTTTGGAATGTGAACATCCATCTTAACCCTGAAATTCAAGATGCTTCTTGTGGTGTCGTCGCAAGAAGAGCCAGGTTACAGTGTGAATAACGTGTACGGAAATCACGCGCACCAGTTCTCTCAGGGACGTACCTTACCTCTTTGCGAGTGTTGCTGCTGACAGCACCATAAGTAGCTTCCGATAAATACTGTACCTAAGTCTGTAGAGCTAGGCCGTTTAGAAGTTCCCAGCGAGGCAAAAAAAATCATTGAAATTAAATAACGTTTAATTCGGACTGGTTACCAGTTACTGATTAACAACCCCAGTCTCTCGGTGTGCTTATTCAGAAGTGGGAAACCAAGTTACCAGTATAAGAATTGGGTGATCTGGAAACAGAGATACCCTTCTTCATATCCATGGGATTTCTCATTCAGACAGTACATGCTGAACATTAGAGTATACCACCAAACGCAATCGATCTATAGAAATCGAAGACTGTTAAAAAGTGAGCATGTAGGGCACTATGTAAAACAAATAGTTTTATCAAGTGCTACTCACTTATCTGAAAAAGCCATGGCAAGCACCTTATAGGAAGGGAACACAGAAGCAGGCCACTCGAAATTTGACTAATTACACCACACCTGATTATATTCAATTAACCCTGGTGGTTTCAGTCTATAGAGAGCCTGCTCATGACACACGGAAATAAAGCCATCGGTATCACACGTGAAACACTTACTCAATCCGTTTTCGCAGGCGAACAATGAAGTTAGCCAACTTTTCAATCTTGTATCTGATCGATTCCACTGCCAAATCCGGATAGTGCTATAGTGTGGACGCACAGTGAAAGTATAAACTGAATAAATAGGGTAGCCCACTCGTTAGAGGAAAACAACAGCTGTTCAAACTTCTGAGAGGCTAAATAAATCGTCTTTAAGTTCTCACTAGGTGAGATGGACAGTACCCAAGAGGGGGCGTGAAGTATGGTCTTTATAATACCCTATATGATGTACAATCCTTTGCTTAGTTCATTTTCGTCTTAGCGATCAAGTTGGTCTGTCCAACATGATAACTTAGCCGTGTTGAGCTGTTGGAGTCGTCAGACATCAGAGGTTCAAGCCTCACACGGCTGACGATAATGTGCACTGTTCATCAGCCTTAATAAAAGTGGGATTCATGTTCGGTGCTCCTCCCTCTTTGGTGTGGACACATTGGATCAATTGCGTCATCACCGTCATCGTCATCAAAGACAGCAACATCAGTGTTGACACTGATGCTTCACTGTCGTATCAACTGCGTCAGGACGAAGGCACATCCAACCTAGAGTGGTGCGAATGTATACTGCGCGCATCTCGCCATCACCTACAGTCGATTAGCTTAGTTTTTTTTTAAGTCTTTGTTATCTGTCGAACAGTTAGACGGACGGCCTTTCCCTGGATATTCTTTACCATAGTTTTGTCTTGCCAGTGAGAATTCACCCATCTTACCGAAACTAGTGGTACAAAGTAGTCTTAAGTTTACACTTCTATTTCCCAATTTTTTCTTGCTGCAGTCGAAATGCCAAAATGAGTTCCTAGAAAACCTCACTGAATAATGAGTACAAAAGTGGATTCACTTCGATGAGGATCGCCTCAGGGCGGACTGCTTTCACGGTGAATTCATCCTCTTCAGTATCATTTTTGAGTCTTCTTCAGGGAGAATTTTACCCACAAGAAAAGATCAGCTGAGGACTAATGCAATGTGATAAGAACGCATGGGGTGAGGAAATTTCGTGGCAGCTTAACTTCAAGCAGTGGCCACTGCAACTGAATTATTGAAAACAGTAAAAATTTTACTGCTGGTTGGCCAGTTAGATTTGGCAGCATCTTCATCGTATATTTGAGTAAATTTGCTTTGAAACAGTTACAGGATCTGTAAACAAAGCAAGTGATACTGAGTGTTAATTGACTGAGAAATACCGAACAGTAGTTCCCTGCCCTATCATTCGTACATCTGATGTGGCAGTTTAAGAGATCATTTATTCGCTTCCGTACTCAGACGTTCAATGGAGATCCCGTAATATTAGGTTATTTCTCCAAAAACACTACCGACAGGGAACCACCATGAGAAATTATCTAGTGTAAGGCGAGATTTTGAAAACGGAGATCATTCTCGCCCAGTAGAGAAAACCTTGTGACCAGTGACAACACAACAGAGGTATTGTGTTTTCGGATGATCACATTCATCTAGTTTTGGTGAACCATGCCAGGGGTTCAGACAATTAAAACAAATATAGTGGGCAAGCTGGTGATAAAGTGATTAAATAAACAGTGCTAAGTATAGCAAAATACGCTCATTTGCAAAAAAATTCGGTTTTGCGAGAGAATCACCTAAAAACCAGCTGAATCTCCCGTTTGTAATGTTTCTAGACAACTGAGTGTGCTGCCACCTCATAATTCAGTCGCTACGATATTCAAGAGATCCCGATACATGCATCTACGTAACGTACTACTAATAAGTGCTAAGTATACTTCTTGAATAACTGCTAGTAGACTGAGGGATTTAGGACCAAATAAGAAGATGTCATACGGATGATCTTTGGTGAAATATTATTACCCTACCGGCTTGATTACGGAGGAGAACTGGTTGGTAAGTTGACCGAGCAGACTCAGCGAGTGAACTTTCCCACATCTTGTGGGGAAGTTCGTCCCTAAGGCGACGAATAAAATGACGTTGTTTGTCATTCAGTGCTAAGCTGTCTTTCCCAAGCCTGCCAAACACTTATAACCTAGAGCGGCTGTGCCTTGAAAAAGGGGTTCCTTTGAGTTTTCTTTTAAGTAACAAAGTTAGTTTGATACGAGCCTATACAAACTGAGGATTCTGCACTGGTCTAGTTTGGTGAAGTGATGCTACCACATTGATCCTCCTTCCAATAAAACAAACTAAAACAAAAATATATAGGAAGTTTTCCTTATCTAATCAGTGAAATTTACTCAAGGCATACTGGGTTATAGTCTGGGCACACAAACAACGACACTTTCGCTGAACGGAATATGAGTACCTTTAGTACAGCAGACGTGATAGAAACGCGGTCACCGGCGTTTGGTTGATTTGAGCAGGAGCTTCCATCTCCCATTGTTTCAACGTATGGTTAGGTCGATACAATAAGATATCTTAAGCACAATAGCTTTTCACTTATTCCGTCTTTGACTAAAACAATTACTGCCACACGCACGTTAAATTTCTACAAAGTAGTGGAGTAGGAGGTCGAAGAATCTGAAACCTAACTGAATGACGAAACCTACGAAACACGAGGAGTTATGAAGATGAAAATTATGGGGAATCACCGATCGCTTGACAGCTACAGAAAGGCATCGTGATGCAGAACTTCTGAGAATAACTGAAATGAATGTCCAAGACATCATTTTAAACAAACAGCTTGGGGCAACTTACGAGTTCGTTATCCAAATTGGCTTTCCCATTACTGTCAAAACAAGCAGTCACGTCCGGGATGGGTCCAGTTTCCTCAAATTCGCGATATTCTGCTTGTGATACGGATCGCATTTGGTTCGAATGCAGTAAATTGGTGTGGTGTTTTCCCGTACGTGAGTGTCCGTTCGTTAGAGGCTGGTAACTGCGTTCGGTTTTCTGCTTTTGTGTTAATTGGAAAAAATACGAATACGGAAGTATTGCACCACCATTTGCCAGTATTTAGTTCATGAAACGTGAACCTATGGATGCCATCAAGACTTGAGTCATTCTTCAAGACCTAACCAGGAGAAACACAAACCCTGGACGGCATGAGATATCTTCCCCATCATACTCACAAAACACGCTTGAGTGGTAAGTGAAATCGCTCCAAAGTGACCAGTGATGAGACCTGTTAATAGCAGCCACTCTGAGACGGCAAACACTTTTCTGTGCACTCAAATGGGTCTCTGCGTGAAATGGTCTTAGGGCAGAGGCTATTAGGCGCGACAGAACTCTCCAAGATTTACCGCTGGAAAATTTCCACGAATGTCAAAACAGAGATTTGACAAGACTTTAAAAGACCGATTTGTCTTTGAAGAGCGATTGGTGAGAAGGGACACCCTCAGAGGACGTCCATTTGTGACCTGAGTGATAGTTTCACTCATTCCCTTATTTGTCTATGAACCTTCGAAGAACGGGATTGTAGACCGGTTCTCACTATCCACACAGAAAGCTACAATAACTGGTCTGTTGTTCCCTATGTAACGACGATGGTGGTTTGTGGATACGTGCTTCTTTCCCGCGATCATGCTTGCCCACCAATTTGCTGCATAGCAAGTTCCGAACCGCAATTTGTGGCAGGCATCTAATCGCAATAAATCAGTGATCCGAGAAAATCGATGCATGTCGTTCACAAAACCGGAACCGCTTCTTCCATTGACAGTGATAAAACTAGCAGATTCGGACTAGTCTGGGACGTCAGATGGCCATACTGAAGCATCAGCGCACATCAAATCGACATGGGGCAAAGTACGGGTTCCAAGAGTCGCCGATTCGGGAATCTACAGGTATCCGTATATGACCGATAGGAGGATTTTCGGCCATTCAAATAAAAGTTGCATCAAAAATTGTTGCAAAGCAGATGTGGTTCTTGATTCTCGCTAACTTTTGGTCGAATTTAACCCACCAAATTTGGTTGGTGGTCACTGCTGCTGGCGGTGGTGCGCTTGTATTTGCTGGGATACTGGCTTTCTCTCACAGTTTCAGCCCAGAAAGAGGACGCTAGCCTAAATATAGTCTTTTATCCTTAGCGGCGCATAAGTATATCAAAACTCCGTTTGTATCGATCAGTTAATGGGAATTCTTGAAGATATCAAATCATTCTTCTACATCATTGTAGTATTGCTGTTTTGTGACTCAACTTCTGATTGTGCTGTTCTCATCTTTCTAGGGAAAGTTTGACCGCAATTACTCAAAATCTCCATGGGTTGCTCCGACGTGGTCCTCGAGTAGGATAGGTGTTAACCCAATCGGCCTCCTGCCGAAAGGAGCGTCATCTACGTAAAGGTCTGTCTGCGGCGTGGCAGTGCGTGAGAGGATGAACCAGGGAAAGTGCAGTCGAATTCATGGCTACCTGGCGTAGAAAGGTAACATATATCTAACCGTGTTCAGGGTGGATAAAATTTCAGGAGGGACCGGCTATAAGGTTGGGAATAGAAGCCTTTGGGGAGAGTCGCATGGCGCCAGAGGAGTCCACGAAAATGTACGGCGCGTACTGCGATCTAGGAAAAAATGCCCTTAGACAATTGGTCTGAGTCAGATTGATTAGGCTATTTGTTGAAGACAAATTTGAATTTCATCGTTCGGATAAGTCAAGAATAGACAGCGTGTAACAAAATTACCCTTTCATCAGGGTTAAAAATAGTGAGGGTGTCTTTGGATGGATTCATTTGGGAAATAGTGTGTGGAAACAAGGCCCTGATTCTGATTCCCTCACACGCAATGTGGGTCGTAAGATGCGTAGGATATTTCGTAAAATATTCGCACGAATCTTCTTGGGCAGACAATTTTATTGACCTCTATGCAAAATTATCTGGTGGTGAAAACATTGTCCAATCCAAAGCACAGGAAATCCTCACAGTTAATCAACTGTCCTGAAAACCTCAACAGTTGTGACGCTCGCTTCCTCGACCAAAGTTAGCACCTTGTTTTCAAAAGTTAGTAAAATATACCCATTTTCGTTGGGTTCTAAGAAACATTTGACTCCATCTTGAGATGTTTGATCCCTATCTTTGAAATAATCAGACTTCATCAAAACAGTGATTCAGCGTTTCCTGGGAACTTTCTCCCCCATTTCCAGCCTTAATATCATGTTTCATCAGCTTTTAAACTATTAACAAGTCAAAAGCGACTATTCCCAAAATATCGTATTAAGCACTCGTTTGGTTTTCTTATCATTCGTTCAACAAAAAAGCTATTGATGGTAATCTGGCCCCTTCATTTATTTTTATGTCAGTATCATGTGCATTCTTAAAAATGAGTTGGTTCTCATCAACTTGGCGATTTAAGTTATCTGTTGAGAGTCTTTTTACTCTCAACATTTTGTTATTGTTGGAACCGACCAACCTTGAAAATCAGTAGATCTCTATTTTTGCGTGAGTAACGTGAGTTAACACAACGATTTAAGCACAGATCATTCTGACGAAGACAGAGTCACAGTTATCGACACAACACCAATTACATGCCCCGTCATACACTTACAGTAGTAGATTGATCAACGCCAGTACCCCAATACAACCGGCGTTATTCTTAAGTCTTCAAAAGAGCTAATACGATGGTGGTAGATAAAAAAGAACAGCATGAACGCCAGGACAAGTGTCGTTGACGTGGCATGGATAATAACCCTAGATAAATAACGTGGCATGTGTAACGGAATAAAGACAACTTGGTTAAAAGATGATGGATGCTGTGGGACTGGCAGTATGATGAGTCTTACAGTGCAAGTTCAAAGGGCAGGTAAAGACAAAGTCTAAGGTAACAATAGTACTAGCTATAGCGATTTGGCAATATTGGTATTTCTTCGAAACTTTAATTCACTGGGGATACTGAATGGATAATATTTTCAATTTGCCGAGAAACTTTTGTGCGTTCAGATTCGAAATAGCCTAACACTTCAAGCTGGAATGCCTAGTTTAGAAATTCGTATTTAGAAGCTAGTGGACATCAAAGACGGATACAAGAAACTCATCATCCAAGCACAAACAAAAGCTTGGCATCCTTTTGATAATTGACTGATTTTTTAGCATAAGGTATTCTAGGGGGCATCAGTTTGACCTTGCGTGCGCCTTTCGCCAGAGGGAAGCATATAGGCGACAACACACCGGTATACATACAGAGCTGAGTCGAGGACTCGATGCAGTATCTATTTGTGTAACATACGCTGCTGCTCCGTTGAGGGATTGCTGCCAATCTGTCGTACTATACCCCTGTACCCGTAGATCGGTAGTATGTGGTTGCCAGACTTGTAGAATCCGTATTCCTATCATCCGAATGAAGGGTCCTCTTTCTGTGCTGGGACAGTTATTTTGATGGGTCCACACCAAAGTGAGGAAAGTCCCAAGTGAAGTTGAGCCTTCATTGGAGTTCATCAGCAGTGCACACTCTCGGCCAAACGGAGATCTGAATCCCGGACATCTCACTTACTGGCAAGGGCGTGCTAGCCCTTTTCCAACAGACTAGGCTGCAGTCAACACTTGTGAACAGGTTAGCCTCGAGCTCTGCACTGGCTCCCTCAGGGGTTCAAACGACGACCCAGCAGCTGCCTCGAGGTGTAGATCACTTAACAGCTGTTACTCTAGGCCGGGACAGTTTCACCTTATGTTTCGCGGAACCGCTCCGGTCTCCCAATTTTACCTTTCTGGTAGGGTCGCACCATCGCACGGTAGTAAGCCAGCATTATCTAAACTGAAACGGAAGCATGCATCTTCTCGAAAGTGAGGGTTATATTTCCTGGTGCTCCAAGCAACATGAAATGGACAGAGAAATACAGACATGAGTATTTCCTATGTTGGAACAAGCCGGTGCGCTTTGTTTTTCCAGTTGACCAAACTCACTGATATAGATAGTTAGTTTTGCAAACTAATGCTCAAATTGTTCCAAGGATGGCGCGGCGAAGACGAATATGACAAGCCACTAATGTTTGAAGATAAAAGAAACCTATGAACGAATGTTTTGTGCAGTCTAAACCGTCATGATAGACAGTGGAGTGATGTCTACACAGGGTGCAAAAACTTGTAAACTGATAGAAAAGATCACCATGCAAGCTGTGAACTTAACAAAGAGCAACACAGCTCGGTTTAGCTAGCCAGGAAGTTGAGCCAACTTGGCCACGCTTCCTGCCTTTGCCGAACGTGCCACGAAGTACGGCTGTCTGTCTCAGTGACGCTTGCTGGTGCATCTCGCTTCACTACGTGCTAACCGTCTGCCTCTAAATGAGCGAAAACTGTACTTGGACAGCACAGTGGTAAAGCGAACCGTAATCTGGGTTGAAGCGATCGACTGCAGCCTACGCTGGATCAGCTGTGGAACACACTAAGAGTGGACAATCTTTTTAGGGGATGGCTGTGACCTACAAAATATTAGTGACCTAGCGTATGCGTTTGAAATATGGTTCCTATCGTCTCAAGTGTCTCCGGTACTCATGCGACCTATTGACTGGGGTTGCACACTATAAGGAATATATACTGCAATCCTTCAGTAACGTACTGCGTTTCATTTATTCACCGTCGTTCTGCCGCTAATAGGACCACCAGCAAGCATGACCCATTTTGCTGACAGAACGGACCCAAAACCGGAAAACTTAATTCGGTCACAGATGTTTCAGCGCTGACCGAGGTGATATCATTAGTGTGTAGTGAGTTCGTAGTGCATCACGATCAGGGGCGAAATGGCTCAAGTGGTTAGAGCGCGAATTTACTGACCGGAAGGTCCATGGTTCGAACCCGACTTCTGCCTCTCGACTTCCCGTGTCTAGGCTTGGCGACCTGGCAGTACCCCAGGACGAGTTTTTTGGTAGTGCATCATAGTGCATCGGTTGAGCAGCCTACACCTCTGATTACGTATCCCTTTTTGACGCAGGGTGGGGTGGCCATCTGATAATGATTAATCCTTTGGGTTGTCGGTCTCGTCTGTTGAATGACTGGATAGGTCTCTAACTGACAGAGGTTCGAAACTTGGAGCATTACCAAAAATCAATTCCAAACACCAGACTAGCTAAGAAGCTGCCACCGTCGTCATCAGGAAACGGCGTAGAGTACAGCATGTACATGGGCTGTCCAAAACAGCACTAAAAGCCGTCACCATTGAACCTGACGAGAAAAATCGGTCATCATTTTTGTACGTATACACTGCCAGGAGTAAGAGTAGGTACCTTCAAACCTGAGTTTATCAGAAAACACACGGACCAGATACAAAATTACCAGAAAATCACAAGATTTGCTTCCAAAATGTGTTTAAGTGTTCAGAGGCACATTGCAGTGCTGCTGAACTGAGAGGTGGGGGAGAAAATAATCCATACAGTGTACTTTGAATTAACGGCTACCTGCGTAACTTCATCAGAAGAAGCGAAAGCGGCAAAATCCACATAAGCCGGCAGGCAAACGGGTCGTCCTACCGTACGATAGAAAAGCGACGAAACTCATTACACAATTACTACAACCATAAGAAATCTTGATGGCTCGCAAACATACGCCTCTATTGGAAAAATTGACATCAAAACAAGCCATCATCATCATAGACAAAATGAAATTAGTGTTAAAACATATGTTTCTCTGCCGTACAACCATGATTTACTTGAAATCCTTATTAAGAAAAAAGGAATGAACGTTGACTGGTAAGAGACTTCGTGCTAGCTTACCACAATTACTCCGAGGCACCAGACACTCGTTAAGGAAATTTGGACAGAAACTGACAAAAAAGAACGTCAGTGACATCAACAGGCAGCCATAACTTGTAGAATATTTAACTAGGTACACTGGGCACCACGCGTTCCCAATTCTGGGAGGCGAGTAGCACTACAGCAGCCAAGCTTTTCGTAATCTCTTTCATACCCTCTGGAAGATCAAAGACTACCCACCTCTATGTTTCCGCTACTTTGAATTGGTCACCAAAGACGGCACTCTCTTAGGGAAGCGACGTTTCGGTATGCGCGGAACATGTTTTAACTAAAGCTGGACACAGATCTTGATGGAGGTCCCCGGTACACAACCGAAAACTCGCTTTCTGGTTGCCTCATTGCGGATTCGCCGACAACGAACCACACAACCTATGTTTCTGGAACCATGGTTGTCGCAAACCAAAAGACGTCTCAGGACAAGCTTTCGAGTGTTACCTCCATTTCTCATGGAAATCTGCATCGGTGTGGTCGCACATTCGCCTTCAAACTGACATGGTGTTTTGAGTCATTGAGACAACGGTTTTTCGAACAGCACCCGAGTGTAATAAGCTGCCAGTAATCAGAGGCAAGATCAGCAGTTATGTACAACGTGCATATTTCACTAAGTTGCTGTAATACATCCATCGAGACTTGGTTTCATTGCGGAATTTCTTACTCGTAATTCGTAAGTGTTCCTGATTCTGGGTTCCAGACGAGTTGAAGCAGACAGTGGCCTTGCTACTCCCCTGAGCTTCGCTGACCTCACCGAACACATTGAATTCACCGAGACTACGGTATGTGTTGAGCGCGTTTGTTTCTTTCTTGTGTCCAAAAGCTAAGCTTCTAGTGGGCTGAATAAAGCTGAGTTGGCATTCATGTCATCAATGTTCATTCATAACCGAAGAAATAAAATGAAGTGAGCATAGACTGTAAGGTCTATCTTTTGTTTATCTTATTTAAGTTGATCAAAAAGATCCAGTGATTCAAGATGACGAAACGTTGATTTTCGCCCATCATGTCGGCTCGGGTAGACAGTTTACTAATTTTCAGACGCAAAGTTGCTCGTGAATGTTTCTGAAATAATTTTGATTTCGGCTGGTACTTAGACCACTCGTATCCAAGTCACAATCACCAGCTGTTCAGAGACAACAAAATAATACATATTACAGATAATCGCAACACAGCTGTGAATGATAACTTCGAACGGCACCTTCCTGAGTTGCTCAAGTCAACCAAATCATACCAAAGCAGCACCGGCATATTTGGTGAAATTTCATTTGTCTGTCAGATCACCCGCATTATGAATTGCGAGTCAGTCATTAGCAGGACAAAGGTCGATCTTCATCGTAGATATTTTAGTTATACCGGGAAAGACACAGGCCTCCAGAATGATATGAATACTCTCCATTCATAAGCGGTCGCCCAATGTGCTGTTCGTTTCAATACTCATTTTGTATCCCAAAGTACACCCCAGGGGAACCGAACCGGGGAAATTTTTGGGAACAGTTGAGAGTTCATTTGAGCAAATTCCAACTGTTGAACAAACCAGTATCGACAAATGTAACTGACTCAGAGAAAAACTGTGCGTCATTAAGCATGATTCTGCCTTTGGTTGAATCAGACAAAAGCACTTGCTCCCCAAGGAGTACTTCAAAAGCACCTTGTGATTTGTGAACCCGGGACGCGAAGTTGTTGAAGTTTGACAGGTAACCTGCTGCAGTCGCAATTGACAAGGTTAATAACTGGTAAAAATGAAGGTACACCAAATCTTCTGTCATGTACCACCCCATGTGCTGTTGTGTGTGTGTTCAGTTGAACTAATTGCTGTATGATTGTTTGCTAAATGACATTATTGGTAAACTTTAACAGACTGGAAGTGCTCAGGTGAATATTTGGCTTTCTATAGATGGATAACTTAGGTGCGTTCTGGAAGCTGTTCTCGAAATAAAAACAAACCCATACCATAAACTTGCCCAACTGCTATTGAATCGCTCTCGTCCCGCGAAACAGGCTGTGATCCCACATGATCCCATACAGTTCCATACATGTCAAACAACCGCGGAACCTAAATCCTGGTAGACTGAGGATTGTTCTACCTGTGTTCCCGAATACCTTAACAATGTATAATACATTACTCAATAAAATACAGCTAAATGCTTATTGGCTGTAACATGATTTCGGCTTTTTGTGTGTGCATTGTGTAAGCGTTTGCTCCTATATCCCGATGTCTGGTTTTGTATCCAATGAAGTGAGCCCCTAATAGACTGCACATTTTGGATTCGAAATGACAAAACTTATAAGATGCGGTCTTTGCCAGTCGAACACCGGTTTCCCAATTCATGCAGCCCATTGGTTAGTTGTAGTGCCCGAATTTCTATGAGGTATGCTTGCGTATCACCTTTTGCGAATTTACGACTGCCTCTTGTTGGCTTCCGCATAGCGGCGACGAAGAACGAGTGACAAGTGTGACAAGAGATATGGAGAATCAAACCGTTTTATCTCTATACACACCATCATGTACATCTCAAGGACTACACCTATCTGCGAAATCCGGAGAGTGATAAAAAAACCCGTAGTGGGCTTTCAAGAACTTCTCAAATATGTTAAGTGAAAATAGTTAGTACTTTAACCATCATGTCAAATAAAAGTCGGGTTGGACTTCGTGAAATAATTTCGTCTGCGGAAAGCCATAAGCGAGAGGTTTATTCAGGGTTCAGGTGGATCTCTCGTTAATATCTATTTACTTTGCAAGGGAGTATGTGCTGTTTCCTTGAAACTGCTGCTTGTTTTTAACCGAAAAAGGGATATGAATGGTGGTGAGCAATATGACACAGTACTCCAAGTTAGCAAGAAGACTTAAAATGTCACAGGTCTGTGAGAACCCTCGATCAGCTCCAGTGCCTCGGGCTGATTGTATGAAATTAACTATTTCAAGTGTTCAGCGTTTTGTGTGAACATACTCAAGACCGATACCTAACCAGTGATCAGACCAGATCAAAAACACAAAACGAAGCTTTTACTTTCAGTTGTTCCCCTTGTAAGAGGATTATTTTCATTGAGCCATGAAACAGTTAAGGCAAAAATCAACGTGGTTTGGCGAAAAAGCAATGAGCAATTACAATGTGCTACGGCTCAATTTTTTGAGTGGTTTGTCTTGACACCAGTAGTGTGGAGATCCCATTTGAGCGAATAGGACCGAATACACGCACAGGTCAACTCACTACTCACCCTGGAGCCATTAGTCAGACAAATGTGAGGCTCATTTCTTCTCTGTTGACCCATCAACGATGGATATTGTGAGTGGGAAGAAGCTGAGCGGGCCTGCCGTCTCTTCCCGTCCACGCTACTTGGAGCATTGGTAACCGTCGGCTTCCGTGCAGTCTCGCTTCGTGTTTTTGACTGATGTGTTGCAGGAACCATTTCAGACCGATTTTGGGATTGGTTTTGAAGTAGAATCTTCGGAACTACGGAACAATGAGCTGGAAATTCGGTATGAGCTTCTATCGATGCCAGAGCCTCTAAACAGTCAGCAGTTTCAACTGGGGCTGTGCGATTTAGACCGTTCATCAATCTCCGGCTTGTTCTTTGGCCATTCTTTGTTGGTTGATATGCAGAGTTGGTTAATCTCTCACTTGTCTGGTCCTGACTTTTACCCACACGGCCTGATTGATTCGTTGAGCGAACTGTAAGTCAACGGAACTCAAATTATGGAACCTGTGTAACACAAAACAGCTGAATCTGAAAATAACATAGACCACGTTGGCTTATTTCTGGCAAATATCAGTTTCTAATAAGGGCCAATTTAGCATTACTCAAAACCGAGATTTTATAGTAGGCCGTCTACCCCCGCGTAACGAGCACCTTCAAGAAACAAACCGAAGACTGTCTCCAGGATCGATGAAGTAGGGTAAACAGATGCACAATGCTTCTGTCAAACTTGCTGGCATATTAAGAATGCCGTACAAAACCAATGAGTTAGAATTAAAGCATTTGAAACATTACCTAGGAGTGAATGCCATTCACATTATTTGACCGAGTGTTTTTTATTCGTTTGACATATGACCGTGCATTTCACAATCCATTTGTCGCTGAGTTCTAGCTTCTTGAAGCAGACGGCATTTATCGAGAAACAAACAAGTATCTTTTGAATGCCTGTTTCGTGGGAAGCGCTCCGAAATACTTCCCGGTCCTTCTTGATAAGTCCCAATTGATAGATTAGAATAACGAAGGAAGCCGTAAAATGGCTGACCTTTCCGTCACTTGACGACTTTATTAGATACACTGTTTTTTTATCAGGAACATCTATTGCTCAGCGGCCACAAATGACGCATTACTTTCAAAGAACATCGACTGGCTTATGTTTCGATATCGCTGAAATTCCATCTTTCAGGGTTTTTCACACAGAGCGTACTGTGTAACACCTAGCCAAACAAACCAAACGGAGGACGTGGCTCAGCTCAGTAGGGTCGAACCTCTAGAACTGCAGCATAAGATAAAATATCCCTAGCGCTCCCAGGAAATACTCAAGTGTGTATCTGTAACACACTACTCATAAGGTTGCTGAAAACTCCTTGATAGCCTACGACCGGTTCCGCCTTTTTGGAGCCCACCAGGTTTTCGCAGTCCTCGGGGTTCCGTCAATTTGGCCTCAAGTAGAACATAAGGTTGACGGAAACTGGGGACTGCGCCTACCTGATGAGCCCCAAGAAGGGCGAAACCGGTCGTGGGCCGTCGAGGAGTTTTCAGCAACCTCATGAGTAGTGCGTTACAAATATATATGTATCGTGATATCTCCAATATCGTAGCGATTGAAACATGAGGCGGCCTGGTACAGTACATTCACTTGCCTGGAAATGTCCAAACCGAGAGATTCAGCTGGGTTCCAGGTGAGTCTCTCGCAAAACCAAATTTGTTTGCAAATGAGTGTATTTTGCTTACTCAAGTGCGTAGTTGGCTGGAAACTGCCGTAACTTCCCAAGGAGCAAACTAGTATTGCGTGGCACACGACCAATCCTATTTTTCAGGTTCTTGGCAGCAAAAGTGACCGGCCAAACTCTTTATCACATTTCAGATGTGGAGCAGGTGGCACAGAGTGAACAAATGTGGGAGAAAACCTGTCGATGTTGCTTTACGAAATACGTTATGAAGACCAGTCGTAGACGTCAATGGGAGAATAGAAACGTGGCTAAAAATAAAAGGATTGTAACTGAATATTTGTCCTGCCGACAATACGCCATCCACTGTGTTGCCTCTTAAAGATAGAAGCACACTGAAGCGATATCCATTAACTCGACATATGTGTTCGTTTGCATACCATTTTGGTTTTCACAGAGGCTCACCTGAATATAAACCAAATCTATAGTTTATGCTGTTCTAGTAGTGCGGTATGTCCATACGATATCCGTCGTTAGCATTTTAAGTGGTCATTTAAATGCAACCGGGCAAATTTGAACTTGCCTGGAAGTCCCGCGTATTTTATATGTAATTCCAAGTGATTTTCACCTCCGTAACCAACGCTGACGCATTTTGTTGCATCGTATCCTTCAGTTATTGCTCTAACAAGTGATTGTCTAAATCCTCACAAATTCAATGAGTACAACTGCCGTTGTCAATTTGGAGTGGAAAACTGCGCATACTATAGATGAGGCATGCGAGTAGCCTGTGGTCATGTCGATGCTCCGCTCCACGTCTAATGGAACTTGAAGTTTATTACGGAACTTGTAGAACTGCTTTACAGTGTTTGTTTACAATTGTGTGATAGTCAATAGATATCCATGAAAGTCTTAGAAGACAAGGGAGAATGTTCCGTTTCTAAAAACGATGTGCATATGAGACGTTTACTCTCCTGTCCAGTGGCTTACAACTGCTTCGTTGATGTTCGTAACGAACAGTCTTCGTTAGTTGCTCAGTAATAATAATAATAAGCAATAATTACGATCGTTTTGGAGCCCATCGTTTGTGGTTGGCTTATTCCCTCAGTAGAGTCAATGTGGACACTGCGTAGAGTAAACGAGCCTGTGTTCACGCCTGTTGGACTTGGTTTGTCATAGCTAAACGTGATTTGTGTGCATACTGTCGTTATGTGAGCTCCAAGATAAAGACTATTCACTGGGCTACCAAATACATAAGGGGGACAATCAGAATCAGACGGTGGATAGCCGCATTTTTTTGATTGCTGTTTGAAATAACTGGTATATCACCTGAAATACACCGCTCGCTAATGACCGCGTCCCACGATAAATTCACTACCACCCTCAGGCAAAGTAAGCACTATACATCAACGGATCGCCAAAAACTTACTGCTTTCCTTAGAAGTCTTCGGTTGGGATGAAGCGTGGGGGTCATAGGTTTTGCGACGTTGCCAGGTTTGAATGGCTGAGAGTTTTGAACCATCTGACGAACCACCCATTGACGGAGGATCTCCAAATGTCACTCTTGTGTTCGCCGACGTTGAACGTGGTGTATCACCAACTCGGTGAGGCTGTGACGAGTTTGTTCGTGCTTTTGCTATGCTAGCTTGAACAGAATGTTTCTCCGGAAACTTTGTTTCTCTTCTGTTCATGGTGCAAGAATTCATGGGAAACGTTGTTTGATTACAGAAAATGTCCACAAATTGTCAGTACACAGAAAGCCTTTCACACCATCTGTGAGAAAACACTGGGTTTACATCTCCTCAAAAAGTGATTTTTGTTTTTTCTGAAACTGTCTCCGTTGAAGCCTCAAGAGAAAACGCAAAAAGTGTGACAACGATTGTCCTACGAAAAGAAAATCGCAAAACACTCTGCAGCTAGAAATCATAGGTACTCTCATTAGACAGTTTCAGCAGTAAAACATCTTTGACAATTTACAGCCACATCACTTGTCTCTTCTTCTCTGATGATTTAAATCAATTTGGTGTCACTCCTACCATACAACACGATGAAATCTGGAAGCGCTTAGCTAGTTTCAGGGGACCAGCAGCAGTGTCAGCTAATTTTGATTGGTTGGACTGATTGGACGGGTATTCCATTGTTTCAAATTTGCCGTTTGATGCTCAGTGCTCAGGTGCAGCAGTTTGAGTCAGATTACGCCGTCAAAAGACCGATTTACCATTGAGTTCGATTCTATTCCCTAATAATCTTTCGTCTCTGTTACCATCCCAGAAAGCAGCTTTCGGTTGCGTCGGAAAACGTATATGTGTGCTGAACCCACGAGTTTACAGACAACTGCAAAAGGGTTCATACCTAATTTTAAGGTTTGGCACAGGGAGGAAAAACGATAACAACTAGTATGTGAGAAAATGTAACTATGTACAATATTACATCGAGCAGTCATTCCCAATGCTTTTTTAATAAGAATGAACGTGATAAACGAAGTTATTTCGAGATACAGATGGATGAGGAACTAGAATGGATTTCAGATACTTTTGTTGTTCCCGAAAACATCAAACTTTTTCAGACTTTATTCCATTATGGACTTTGTATGTGAGCATTGTACTGATACCCCAGCAAAGTCATCTACTTGTCAGGATCTTCACTGGAGTCATCAGGTTTCACTGTTATTACGTAAGTAGCTAGTGAGTTGGTGTGAGATCAAACCAAGGGGATCACCCACAGCAGCTCACCTCATATGTCAAGTGGTATAGCCACGAAGCGTGAGGTGGCGCAGATTGAGTGAAAACTGTCACCATCAGAACCAAAGTTGACCCATGACAAACGGGCGAATTAGAGTTCATCCAACAGTAATCCCATCTACATTTACGCGATCAAACAGTACTTCATATTCCATTCTTCCCGATCAGATCGTGCGATAAATACTGTTCAAAATGTACGGCAACGGGGCACCAATCGGTCCGCAACCAAGTCCTACACCTCTTTGGTGTTCATCACAGCCATTTCACAAAAAGTTAATACTAGCTGTGCATTTGCACTACAGTTTATTTTGACGGACATTTGTGTTCGTCAGGTTCGACGAAGTATTCGGAAGTTGCCAAAACTCGTCCAAGTAGACCAGTGAACATCAGTTCGTGTGAAATCAATATCAATTGAACTTTCCCTTTTCTTAATGTGATATCGTTGACTTCGTTTAGTCTCGGGGACGGGGATTTTGATCCTTTAAACAAGACTGTAAACTCAAGTTTAGCATGAAAATAGAGTCCACCTCGGGCACATTACACTTTCTGGACTATATAACACATAAGATTGGTGGGAAATTGAAAACGACTATCTACCAGAAACCAACAGATACAGGAGCCGTCTTGAACTACTCATCAGCACACCCAAAGTCGGCGTACGCCAGTATTGTCTCATCGATGTTTCGTCAAGTCAGAGTGGTGTGCACAGAGGAGATCGATCAAACGGCAGCTCAGATCGAGATTGCCGACAGACTTCAAGAAACAGGATACCCAGGGAGTTTTGTTAGGTGTCAACTAAGAAAAATATTGGCTCCAGTATCTAGACTCAGTAAGGAATGGATTGGCACAGCAGTCATTCCATATAAAGCAAGAACATCGGAGGTTATTCGAAGACTGTTGAACTTAGCCAACATTCCAGTAGCTTTCCAGGAGGAAAAAACGCTACGCTCAGTTTTGGTGCAATTGAAAGATCCCTTGCCGGTCGAAAGGACTGGGGACTGTGTGTATAAAATTAACCGCAACGATTGCACCAAGGTTTACATAGGACAAACTGCCAGGGAATTGCACACCAGAAGTGGTGAGCATAAAAGAAGGAGAAACAAACCACCAAGGAATGTAGAAGAATACCAAACGCTGGTCAAAGAATCAGCGATGGCGCTACATACCTCACACACGGAACAGAGTAGATCTGGAGAATGTGGAAGCTTTAAGACGGGGAGTGCGATTCACACCACAGCGGCTGATAGCCGAGGCGGTGGAAATCACTAAGCATCACAGCCTGAATGGGATCAAGGATGTGGAACTGGCGAGCGTATGGAAAGCGGACAACATAGTGATTACAAAGGCAGATAAGGGTAAGGCCACTGTTGTTATGAACAACAGTGATCATTTACAGAAGGTTAAGCAGCACCTAGCTGAGGGTCCTTATCGGGAGGTCAACAATGCGAATATTACGTCTATAATGAATAGAAGTAAAGCCGAAGTAGAGAGGTATTTGAGGTCTGTGATAAACCACTTAGGGCAAGGCAACCGGTATCGATTGCACCCGAAAAGTGCAACCCAACCACGACTTTATGGCCTCCCAAAAATCCATGAATGAACTGTCCCGGTGAGACCGATAGTAAACGGGATAGGTTCCCCACCGC